TTTTTTCATTTCACACCTATTCGTTGGGTTTCTTTCTACCGATGCTAAAAATTTTCAATTAAAACGTGCCCAACTAAATTCCACGAACAATTGTTGTTGTTTTGCAAAAAAATATTCTGTTACCTCACTGTCAGGAATGGTCACAACAATGGTGATTTTTTCATTGCAATTCGCGTCAATAATTCTGTTCACATTGTCGAAACGTAGAAAATCGTATCAAAGAACGCTAATGATATGATAATAGTAAACAAATTGTGATCTATCTGATAAGCATCTCCAAAAAGCGATTTTTTCATACAGTGACACGTTGTTGAAAATTGTTATTTTCATCTTTTTTTTTGTAAATAAGCGTTGTTTAAAGTGTTGTACAACACATGCAGATATTTTAGTAACATGCGTATAGCAACGATAAGCATGGTTTATCATTCTCAATTATGACGCCTCGTAACGCTTTTGAATTGAGCACATTTTTGATCGTAGCATTTGCATTGTTTACATTCGATTACTGTGCTGCTGCATTCTATTGACGAGTAGTCATTCTAAATTCTCTGAAGTTCCTTCATTCGTGGGTGGATATTTCCATCAAATCACTCTAATTCAACTGAATCGCAGCTCTTCAAAACAATGAATATTTATTTCGGTTATTCTGTTTTAACCGAAAACTGCAACTACTTTCCCAAATATTTTTATCATAAATAATTGCTTTCCCTAATTGTTGGCGATGTAATTTGTTCCGTGAATGTTTTCGCGAATTTCCATCAAGAGTGTCAGTTTGCTGACCCAACAAGGGAGTCTTAACCACTTCGGAATCTGCTTTTCAACTTGTCTATTCGTGCAATTTTTTTGAGCGTTTGCTCTCTGAATCAATTGTTCTAGATCGCTGTTACCGTCCTGCTCTGTAGCTATCGTAAACGTAATGAACGTTTCAATTCCCTTCAAATTCGTCCTGAATTCAGCATATCCCCTTAATAACATGATTGCCTTAAATTCTGATAATCATTTCCGAAGTCTCAAATCACTACAGCAGCTTTATCATTACAACCGGAAGTCGAATGCATAACAGCTGCGATGCACCATTATGCAACGAATGCGTTATAATCTTTAGCATAATGAATGATTAACTTGAAGAGGGACTAAGTTATTCAAATATATGTATTTATATTATCCGTGCATTTGCTATGCTTCAACGAATTTTACAAATGTACTGTTTCTTCTTTAAACTATTTATGCTTGTTACAACTTGTTAATTTCTTCCAGTTATTACAAACGTCACTGATAAATGATTATTCAGTGCTAGCGTACCGATAGTGTTTTTCTATTTCTTCTCATCGTATTGTCAATTGAATAAGGGAACTGTCTTACCTGAACTATGTTTCCCATGGGCAAATTCTATGACGATTCCATTATTCACATGCGTTACTTCACAATCGTAATATGACTGATAACGTGATATGAGTGACCGCAGTTTTTTTGAATGCTAATCATTTGCAGCTTTCAGACAAACTGTGATCAGCAAACGTGGTGGTTGTGTGCTGTGTGCTGATTGAGTTTGAATCTGTATCAGTTTGACGATAGCGTTGTTCATATGAAACGAGCGTCCGTATTTGGTGACTTAACAAACTTTAGAGGGTCAGTTTTATCAGTATATCGCTCACATGTCCATTTTTATAAAAGAATTTGGAGTGTCGTTTCTCTTCTTAGTTGATATATTCTAAATTTCAACCGACACAATTCTTTTTCCCTATGAAACAACTAATTTTAAAAAAAATTTTTTTAGCGATGTTTATTTTTTCTCGCTTCTAAAGAACCACATTGCTGTCTACTATAAAAATAGTTAACACTCATTTGGAAGCATAAAAATACCACTATTAATGAAACATTTCTGCGCCATCCTTTCCAGACATTGGGCGTTTTCACGATTCTTGTGGTAGATTTCTTTTTGCTACGCTTTAGCATCGAATGTTGCATGGAAGATTCACTTGTTGTTGCTTTCAGAAATGAAACATCGAACCCGTCTCGTAAGAATTCCAGTGGCAGTCTGTCACGAAAGAGCAGTGGAAACGGTTTGTTAGAACATTTAACACTTTGTTTATTTAATATAATGACGATTCATTATTACCGTATGAGAATTTTTAGTGAAAATTCATTATTATCTTCATTGTTACTGTATATTTTGATGTCATTTCACTGATAGTTACAAGCAATAGTGATGGGTTAGGAAGAAGAACAAGTACCCGTTCCCTCGGTCAACATGAATTGAATCGCTCGGCATCAATCACCCCACAGAAAGAAATCAGCTTTGGTATTACCAATTGCCCTTACGCTCTTCTCGCACCTCTGAAAGGCGACTTTCGCGGTGTTCGGCCCAACTATTTGTAAATGCACAAACAATCGCCGCAGTCACATTTTCGGAGGTCATCAATTTGAATCTCGGAAACTTCCGTTTCGGATTATTCGAGTCGGTCTTGCTTGAGGCTAGCTATGCTGTTGACCGAATCAACTGAAGGCATAACGATAGGAGACAAAAGTCCGCACAAAACAACACGCACAATGTCATGAGTGCATGAATATATACGCCTAAAACTGCATATATACATATATAAGTGCATAAACATTTATTTACAATAGTCGAGCCAATAGCGTAACACAATCCATATTGCATAGTTAGTTCAATCATTGAATATCTTCAACAAGTGACATTTTCATTCAAAATTGCCATTCATATCAAAGTTTATCTGCGACATTCGTAAAGGTCGCGCATTAAACATTTAAGCTGTGTTATGCTCTAACCATGCCAAACGCTTCTCAATAACTCATTTGACGTGATCAAATCAGAGGATTACTAGCAAATCTTATTACTTATAATGCAAATCCGTTAACGTATTGGTCGTTCCGTTACATGCTCCTTTCATTCAGCATATTCACAGTCAATAAATTTAGAATAGCCTTTAAATTATTTACTTCAGTAGCGTTTATCGTTCATTCACTCGTGTTATTGCTTGTTGATTTAAATCTCTGTTCGTTGTTTTGTTGAATTGATCACAGTTGATACGATCGACAGACGAGAGTATATCGATAGAAATGAATGAATGCACTTATTAGGTATGAGTGTTGGTTCATGGTCTGAGACATCCGCAGCACGGCTTAGCCAATTCTGTGAAGAGGATGCAGATTCCAGAGATTCTGGAATCTGTATGGATATGTCACCGGATGAGATGGATTTTACATCGGTTCGAACACATTCCTACAGCCGGAAAGTCAGTGAAGCCACGGTAATTTCGCATTCTATCACATTGAAACTATCATTTTCAATTTTCAATTTTTTAATTATTTTTCAATTTTTTTCCAAGGTATCATTGAGATTTGCAAATATTCGTTTTTACTTTCGAATAAGTTATTTTGCGAACGAAAAATTTTTTTCGTAAAAAATTCCACGAATGCGCATCTTTCGGAATTAACCAAAGATATTGGAAAGTGCTCCAGACGTACTTCATTCTCGGTATCTTTATCAAAACCATGCTCTATCGAGACATTAGAATTTCTGATCCTACTGAACTGGAGCAAGACACGCTGAGCCAAGATCTGCAGGACGGCAAATTAGTCTGTCAAGTAAATTACTTGGCAAATATTCGACCGATCCGGCGAATATTGGCCTGGTAGACGGCCT